CCAGGTGAGTGCGTGGTCCGCAGCATTGGCGGCGTGAGCCCTCTCGAGCAGAGTGGTCTGTTCGATGTTTAGTTCGGAGTCCTTGGAGTCAGCCATTTTGAGACGGGCATCTCTGGCCTTCTATGACTCCGGCGGGGACGATCGCCTCTAAATGGTCTCCCGGATTTTGCGGGGAAACGTGGGGTAAACAAGGTCCGGCTATACTCTATCGCGCCTGATGCAGGCTTTGTAGGTGTCCCAGGAAGCTAATGGCACTGTACCTCGTATCCATCAGGCCATACGATCCGAGGCGATGCTCGCCAAATTACTGGCTGCCAAAGCTTAAAGATCGCGGCTCGCTAATTTCGCCTAAGTGATAAGAGGCTAGCTGCCATGGCCTAGCCTCAAGCGCCCCTCAAAGCTTCTCCTCGTGTTCATTTGAGCTCGCCCCTACCTTCACTCACCCCTCCTTCCTTCGCCACGTTGCTCATACCACCAATCCCCAAGAAGGTCATGTCGCAAAGTTCACGAACCATGTACGCCTACGTTGGTAGCTTTGTGATGCCGACCCCAGGCGCACATGATGGGCTGCATGTATTCCGAGTAGACTCCGAAACCGGAGCCCTAATGCCCGTTTCTTCCCACACCCCCGGCCTCAACGTGGGTAGCTTCGCTCTCGACCCCCAGCGCGGCGTCCTCTACGTGACGGACGAGGTGGCCTCTACCTTAGAATTCCGCGAGCAACACCAGGTCGCCGGCGGCGGAGGTGGGCGGATCTTCGCCTTCACCATTGACCGCGAGACGGGCGCGCTGAGCGAACTCGGCCACTGGCCCAGCTACGGCACACAGCCCGCGGGAATTGCTCTACATCCCAGCGGTGGTTTTCTGGTGGTCTCGCATTTCACTAACCGCACCACCACAACCACTCAGATTACCGGGACTGCGCAGTCGGGCTTCACAATCAGCCCTCGCTATGACGACGCAACCACCGTCCTCTTCCCTCTCGACTCCACTGGCCGCATCGGCGCCCCCTGCGACATCCACATCCACCCACCTGCCTCGCCTCCTTCGTGTCTGCACTCCATCAGTCTCTTTCCAATCAGCACCAGCGACAACAATACCTTCTATCTAGAATGTGACATGATCCAAGACCAGCTCTTGACCTACACACTCGCCAACAAGCCTCCCCTTCTCCGCATGCACGCAGCCCATGCCACTCCAGAAGGTAGCGGACCACGCTACTCCGCCTTCCACCCCACCCTCCCAGTCTTTTATGTCAATTACGAATACAACCCCATTATCGAGACCTTTACCTACCAGCCTGGTGGGTCCTTCACCTCCTTGTCCAAGGTAGATGTCCTCCCACCGGCAGGGGAGCTGGACCCAAACTATCCGCCACCGGAAGGAAACATTCTGCTGTCTGATCTGAAGGTGCATCCAGGGGGGGAGTTTGTCTATACCCTGGTACGGGGGTATAATGTGCTCGGTGTTTTTCGCGTCGATCACACCACGGGAGGGTTGGAACGGATCCAGACGGTCGGATTGATGGGTGGGGTTTCGCCCAAGGGGTGTGCGGTTAGTCCCGATGGACGGTTCCTGTACGTGGCTCTTTCGGTGAGCGGGTTGGTGCAGGTATGGCGGGTGGAGGCGGAGAACGGGGGCAGGGTGGTGTTTACGGGGTCGACGGTGAGTGTGCCGAGACCGGGGGCAGTTTTGGTGGTTGAGATGTAGATGTATCAAGTAGTAATCCGATATTTCAGATGTTCATCTTGGGACTTTTGTTCGAGTAAGAAGGGTCAGAACACTATACCTCTGGAGTGTGTTGAGGAATTATCAGGAACGTGGCAAGATTCAGAAAACTGGACAATCTCAGATGAATTGGAGCCTTCTATTTCTATTGGTGCTTACCATATCCTAGCAAGTCTGCAATACAAATGGAGGTATTGAGGGCAACTCTAGAGTGTCTCAAAGTGCAGAAAGAAGGGAAAAAAAAAAGAAAAAGGAAAAAGCAAATTACATCCACTTCTCTTTCTCCTCGACCACCTTGGCCCTCGCATCCCACCAAAACTGCAAGCCCTCATCATTCAATCCCCCCAGCACATCCTCCGCCGTATGCGGCGCCCCGGGGACAATGGCCTTCCCAAACTCGACCCCCCACGCCGTCAGCGTCTCCCACATATGCTCATGCGCCTCGCGCAGCCGCACATCCTCGCCTCCAATCAACAACCGCAACTCCGTCTTTTCCCTCTTCACATGTTCCAACTGCCTCTCCAGCAGCGTCAACGCATGATTGGCCGTGAAGAACGCCTGACTACCGTTATACGTATCATACGTCACCTCCCGCCCTTCATCCGCGAGCTTGGTGCGAAAGCTGCCGGCAAGGGAACTCAACGCCCCGCCAAAGACCTCGGGGTACTTCAGGCCCAGATTCCACGCCCCGTAGCCGCCGGCCGAATGGCCCTCCAACCACCGCGCCGAGGGGTGGCGGATCGTGCGGTACCGCTCGTCGACGGCGGCCACGAGATCGCGCCGCATGATGTCGCCCAGCGGGCGCGTGCCGTCGTAGCTATTGATCCACCGGCCCTTGGGGAGGGCCTGCGCGGCGATCAGGATGCAAGCGGGCATCTTGCCCAGCTCCATCTTCCGGTAGTAGAAGCGCAGGGACCACTCCGCGTGCCGGGAACAGGAGAAGCCCCCGTGCAGCCAGTAGAGGACCGGGTACCGCGGTCCCTCGAGGTCGGTGTCCGAGTAGCCCGGCGGTAGGACGACCAGGTAGCTCCCCTGCGCGCCGGGCCCGCGGGTCGGTTGCGGGTAGAGGGCGTATTGGATCTCGGAGGGTAAGGCCCACACGTCGGTGTCGATCCACATGTGGTTGTAGGCATCCAGCAATGCGGCGGGCGGGTGCCAGCGGCCCTTGTAGGGGGGGATCGGGGGGTAGACTTCCGAGGAAGACGGGGTGGTGGTGCTGTCGACTGTCATTTTGCGGGCGGTGGGATGTTTTGGATTGTGAGGGGACTAGGTGAGAGATGGATTTGATCTTTATCAGTGGTGAAATTGGTTAGTCGAGGTGATTGAGAACATGATGCGATCGTGAGTTATATACGAAGGTAGGCTGGCCCAAGTCCGGTATGCGGGGTTGCCTCGGGGGAGGGGTAGAGAGCCCACACGATTCCGGGCTGGCAAGCATCGCTACCCGCGCGGGAGCTAAGGCGAGACTCGCCTGTGAACTCCGGGGAGTCCTACCCTCGGCTGGGCGAGGTTGTCCGATATTTGGACCTCAAAAGCCCGTACTTGCGTGCAACAAAGACCAGCCAAGACGCAGTGGCCGTGGTTTCGTCTTGCCGGGTCGTGGTTTATAGCTCGCGCATAATAGCCGTTAACGGACTGCAGCTGCTGACACCACGGCTAGCGACTCCGGGGACACAGTACTGATAAGAGAAACTCATCTGGAAGATCACAGGGTGCCTCGTTGCGAGAGTTGAACACCGCTATAATGCAGGTTTAGTTGTGTTTGTGAATGTAATTGCAGAGACACACCGGCAACCAGCGAAAATGGAAGCAATAAAACCTAAGAAGCAAAACTCTTATAACTTTGAGAACCCAGTATTGGAGCAGCAATAAACTCTTGAAACGCAAGATTTATGTCGAAGTCTAGCTCAGTTAAATTATACTGGGTAGTTAGGTAGGTACCACTTACTGCAGCCAAGTGAGTGAGTGTAGTGATGAATCACGCCTAAAGTCGAGAACAGTAAGCTCCCGTTCCAAAACAGAGGACCCCGATCCGTAGCGGTTCTAATATTGCGTGACCTTCCAATGCAATAACTAGCAATAAAGCGACATCCTAGTACATAACGAATTCCTATAATATTCCACTCAGTTTTACTAAACAAATTTCGCTGGATCGTCTTATTACAAATTTTGTTTCAATGCCATTCCCCTCTAAATCTATATTGTTCAATTTTCGTCTACCGATCACTTAGAAATTATACATAAAGAACAACAAAATAGATTAAAACAGACATAATAATCAACCAGCAGGAATAGGAGTTCCGTGAGATATCTATAAATACTTATTTACACAAAGTTCATACTACAAAAGAACCTCGTATAACAAATTTGAACACGCGCCTCTACTGTTTCGTTATATCAGGTGATAGTTCTTGGATTAATCGTGAATGGACAACCACTAGGACCAAAGCCTGACGTGTAGGGGTCCTTCGGATCGTTCCGAAAAAGCACGGAAGGCCTGAATCCCCTTCTAGTTTTTCACTTCGAAAAGCCACGGATTGGGTCTCTTGTCCGGTGATGTAGTAGATCTTTGCAGCAGAGTAAGCCCAGCTCCCCGGGAATCAGAAGTATGTGTAGGTCATCCCGGAGTGTAGTGTATCTTTGAACATCTCCTGAACGGCAAAACAGACTCACAGATTATGTCTATAAATATTATTCGATATTTACGCTTACAGACCAAGTACCAGCGTATGCACCTTCCAGTCGATATGAGGCGGTGCTATGATTTATTTTGCAAGACGGCAAGAAGCAGGAAGCCGGACGGGGTGAGGGACGTACTGTACCGACGTCTAGGCAGATACAGGGCTCAGGTTTGGAGCAGGTTGAGATCTTTCATAAAGGGTGTATGAGTACCTGCAGGAGATATGAAAGAAACGTAGCTAGGCTGGGGTTGGGCAGGGGTCGATGAAGCTGGCCTTCTTAGAAGCTACTGTTCAATTGGTGTGCTCGGGTGGTTGTGGGGAAAGTAGGGCAAGCAGGAAGCGGCACTAGGCCCTAAGGATGATTGACTGTTCAGGGCAGACACTCAGAAGGCCAAATAAGGGTTACTATGTACATACATACTGGCCGATGCAAGTGGTCCTGGTTTACCCTGGCTAGTGCTTACGGAAACAAATCAGCTTGGCTAGTGCTGACGCAACTAAGCATACATCGTTACGATAGTTACCCCGTACTTAAAGCACACACCCCAGTACTAGCAGACTCCCACCCCTTATACAATCTTCAAACCCAACATGTCACCTCTCCGCCCAGTCTTCACCAACCTGAATGGCGACAGCTCGTGGCTGATCTCACTGCCCCAGCCTGCGGGCGGGTACTTCCACCTCCTGCTCGATCCGTGGCTCGGCGGACCGGCCATCATCACCTCATCCTGGCTGAGCCATATCACGCACATCGAACAGGAGAAGTTCTAGAGCATCGCGCAAATCGAGCAACTAGCACGAGATATCTCCGCACCCAGTGGAGCGGAGAGCCGCATTGACGCCGTGATTGTCTCCCATCCCTTCAGTGACCACACCCACAAAGACACACTGATCCAGCTTGCATCCACTGTTACAGTGTATGCTACCCGCGAGACCGCCGCGGTCGTCCGGTCGTGGAACTATTTCGATACGGTAGTAGGTATCCCCGACTACGAGCCAACCACGCCGTGGCTGGATGAATCTCCTGCACATCCCCACCGGCGAGCCACATCCCGCTCTCTATTACGGGATGGTGATCGCTTATACCACTCCGGAAAAAACGACGGAGGCCGTCATCTACTCACCCCACGGCATCGAACCGCCATTCGTGCAACCGCTGGTCGAGGAAGCATCGTTCACAACGCTCGCGCTGCTGCACGGGATCGACGACCAGAGCACGCTCGGCGTGCCGCAGCTGGGTGTGGAGAACGGGCTGCGGCTCGAGGCGCTGACGGGCGCGCGGTACTGGCTGCGGACCCACAGCCCCCTCCTCGATTTCCGGGGTTTGATCGGGTGGTTTTATCGGATTTTTCCGCGGACGCTGGACGACGGCCTGGAGCAGGAGGAGCGAGAGACGGGGTACAAGCGGGCGAGGCCAAATTATGTGGAGATAGCGAATGGGGAGAGTGTGGTTTCGAAGTAAGGGGGGGTGTTGCTGCTGCTGCTGCTGCTCAGATGAACGGTCAAACGAACAGAGCAATCCAAAGTGATTATGATGATGTGATTGATTGCACCGCGATCGCCGGCTAGATCGTATCAACATAGGATGTTGTTGCCGGGATCGGGACTTGCACCCTCTATCATCTGCAGCAAGCGTCCCAGAGACTTTTCAAGGTATAGCGTCTGGCGATTGACTCAGAGTAAGAAACAGCATTGAATGAGCAGTTTTATGATCAGGTAATGTGCTGTCTTATCCCCCGTCGAGTGAAGGCCAAGCGAATACAGCCTTCTAAGCATAAATAATCTAATTGTCCTATCATCTCTCAAACCTCAGACGGAGGTCATCCATGTATACAAAGTCAATTTTCTCTGTTCGGTCTAATATTTTACACTGAGGAGTCCCGTAGAGTTCAGGACTAAATTTTTCTCCCGCGATCATATGTGCGTTCCATCAGCGGGTTTTGCGATGCTCGGGCATATGCGACGTTTCTAATTTGTTGGGAAATACATCAGTCAGAACAGAACAATGACCAAAGTCGGATGAAATGCTTACCGTAGTCGACATGAACAAAGGCTCGAGCGAAGCCCTCGACTGACTCCAGCTTATCCTGCAGTTCTTGGGCGACATCGTGTACTTCGCGCAGGCTGAGCTCCGGCGCCATGACGATGTCCACCTCGACGAACAGCTCCTCGCCCCAGTGATACGCATGGACAGAGTCAACCTGCAGGATCAAATCGGAGTGACGCAGCGTCAGGAAGACTACCTCCTGTACTAGATTCGGTGACGCGCCGAGGCCGCACAGCTCCAGAAACTCGCTCCGGACGGTGCCGATCCAGGTGACGATGATGACCAGGCCGATGAGCAGGGCCCCGGCCGGATCGACCCACCACTTCAGCTTCGCGCCCGCAGCCGATGTGAAGATGGCGAACCCGTACTCAAAGCAGTCGTTGCGATTGTCCTCCCACAGCATCTGCAGCTGGCTGCTGTGCTTGCGGAAGATAAAGCAGTAGACGGCGAGGAACAGCTTGATACCGAACCCGCACGCCGCCGCGATGACCGCAGCCACGTCAAACTTGCCCAGCTCGTGGTCGCTACCCGCCAGGGACCGGATCGACTCGACGACCAGGACGAGCGAGACGGCCATCAGCGCAAAGGCAAAGCAGATATTGCCGGCGTTGCAGAGCCGGCCCGCGCCGGCGGGCCACTGGGTCGAGTGGTTGAGCTTCCGCGCCTTCCGGTGCAGGTAGTCCAGGCCGATGTTGCTGACGGCCTCGCAGCAGCTCTCGGCCATGGTCACGAAGAGGGACAGGGACCGGGTCGTCGCCGCGGCGTAGATCTGCAGCGCGGCGACGAGGATGGTGCCGTAGATGGAGGTGTTGATGGCAGCCTTGACGTGTAGAGATGATGTATCCGGCTCATCGTCTAGCAGCCGCGCAGCCGTTGGGTCCTCGGCTACCTGGATCAGACGGTTGATGTGGAGGTTCTGTTCCGTGTGATAGTTGTGTGCCCGCCGGATGCGCCGGTGGATCTGTTGGCTCCACACCGATGTGCTGGGCGGGCTCACGAGAGAGCCTCGTAGCCGCTCAAGCTCGATGTCGCTTGACATGGTGAAGTTGAAAATGGTATTATGCAGTATCTGTCAAGGTCAAGGAAGGTCAATCAGGGAAAATTTTGCAAATTCTCCAAGGCTCGGCAAGCCAGGCGGAAATGAATTCGATGAAGGGTTGAGACTTGGCACCTTGGCATGCTTTTACCCCTGCCGCAGGAACATTGCATGTTTTCGCCACGCAGATTGATTGTCCTATCGTTTCTGCCTATTTGCATTTTACAACAGTCAATCTAATCTCTGTCTCAGCCAAGTTCAGCACATACGACCACAGGGTGTGGAAAACAGGGCTTCCCGTCCGCTCAGCCGTACTTAAGCCACACGCCGGGAGGTTAGTAGTTGGGTGGGTGACCACCAGCGAATCCCTTCTGTTGTATGTTTTCGCTTTTTTGGCGTTCTTGATTGACATTCTTCCAAAACACCACGTTCCATTGTTTATTCATTCACCACTCACTCTCTTTTGTCTGGGCAGCTGGATATCTCGGCCGAGAAACAGTACCCCTCTACAAACCGTGTCTCCTCATATCGAATGGAATCACCACAAATTCGGCAGCAGACTTGATCTAATCTGCTACTACCTGAACCAGTCCATTCCACCGCACATAAGCTCTCTTTAATTCTCAATGTGTCGTGGCCCATGTGGTGACTCTGATTCAGGATGCTTTGTCCCCGGTCCGATTGGCCGGGCGATTTTTAAAGCCGTCCCGCCACAGTGGGCCTTGAGTCCCTGACCGAAGCTTGGAGTTGGAACAAGAGTCACTTGGCATTGCAACAGGTACCATAGACTCGGTAAGGTACCGTACTTGGCTTCCGAATACCCGTACGGCAACCCGACATCTGCTCCTCCCCTCTCCTTAGTAGAGAATCATAAGTCCACTGGCTTTACAAGTCTCTACAGGTCTGATACTTCAATATTTAGACCACCTTGATTTTTTTTTCTATGGGAATAGAATATCAGCCAGGGTTACCATCTTCCTCGTACTGGCCGAGGCCAGCGATTCTCATGAAGCATCTCGGTTGATCCTCGGTTGATATCACATTGATGCACACTCAGCACAAGGATTCCTTATACTGAGTACATATGTCTTTAGGGGGTGTCAGATACCCCTAGTAACGCCTGAATACGTCAGGGGATACCGCCATGCTTCTCTTTGTCTCCTTTTCTTTCGATTTGTGGGATTCGGGGGGCAGGTCTAGCGCACCCCGCGGTGTCGAACGAATCTCCAGAAATCGATGATCTACTTTACAGATCAGCTCTGGTACTTGATTGTTCTAGCCCATGGAGGTCAGAACGGCCATCGTAGCGGCCCACGGGGTGTCTCTCAATATAGGTAACTTCTGTCTACGCACATATGCAGAGTGTTGTTAGGACTAAAGACTAGGTTGGGCAGGTGCTTTTGGTAGTTCTCTTTTCATGATTTGGTTTTCTTTCTCCTCTAATTACGTTGTCTTTATTATGAACATCCTATATGCCATAAAAGTTATGTTCATACCACCCCAGTCACACGTACCGGCAGTTCCTCTCCGCGGTGTTGTTGTTGTCCTGTGGGCCCCTCCTTGGGGCTTACTTACATAATTTTTACGGTACGTTTGTGGCCCCATTACTCGCTCTGAATAAAAGGCCGTCTCGCTCCTTTCAAGGTAGTCATACCAGCTCTGCATTCTGGAAAGCCTGTTTGAGATTTTCCCCTTCTCTGCAACGTCCCCCGTCGCTGTCTCTCAATCACTATCGGTGGTAGTTATCCCCTGCTGCCTAAAATCTCTTTCTTACCTTTTCACCTGTTGGGGAGACCTAAACAATTGCCACAATGCACGACCACAGCACTGGATCTAGTCCATACATCTCGGACGTGGAAACCTTGAACCACACCTGCGAGAAGTCCGTCAACCCCGAGACCAAAGTCTCCCAGCCTCAGGAATCTCCCATTATCAGCAATAATGAACATCAGGAGTTCGTCAAGCTGGGCATCCGCCAACGGCTGCGTCATTTCACCTGGGCCTGGTATACCCTAACCATGAGCGCAGGTGGACTGGCCCTTCTTCTCCGCAACCAGCCGTATCAATTCAAGGGGTTGAAGGAGATAGGCCTGGTGGTATACATAGCCAATCTCGTCTTCTTTACTATCATCGGCTCTCTTATGATCACCAGGTTTGTTCTTTACAACAACCTGATGGACTCTCTCCGCCACGACCGAGAAGGTTTCTTCTTTCCAACCTTCTGGCTCTCCATCGCCACCATGATTAGTGGTCTGTCTGCCTACTTCTCTACTGAAGACACGCACCGCCTCAATTATGCTCTCGAGGGTCTCTTCTGGGCGTACTGTATCTTCACGTTTGCCTCGGCAGTGATCCAGTACTCCTTTGTCTTCTCCTATCACACGTTCCCTCTGCAAACTATGATGCCATCATGGATCTTACCGGCATTCCCTATCATGCTGAGCGGAACCATTGCCTCTGCCGCTTCCAGCTACCAGCCTGCGGTGTCTGCCACGCCTATGATTGTTGCCGGCATCACGTTCCAGGGACTCGGATTCTGCATCAGCTTCATGATGTACGCCCACTACATCGGACGTCTGATGGAGACGGGCATCCCTTCGAGCGAGCACCGTCCTGGTATGTTCATCTGTGTCGGTCCCCCTGCCTTCACGCTGCTGGCTATCATCGGCATGGCCAACGGCCTTCCCGAGGGCTTCAGTATCCTGGGCGATGGTGGCATGGACGACCGTCACATCATGCGAGTACTGGCCGTCTGCGCGGGCATGTTCCTCTGGGCTCTGAGCATTTGGTTCTTCTGTGTCGCTCTGGGCTCAGTTGTGCGGGCGCCTCCCCATGATTTCCACCTCAACTGGTGGGCTATGGTCTTCCCTAACACCGGACTCACTCTCGCCACCATCACCCTGGCCAAGTCACTGGACAGTGCCGCGTTGAAATGGGTGGGCGTGGGCATGTCCCTCTGCGTGATCTGCATGTTCATCTTCGTCTTCGTGAGCACCATTAGGGCTGTTCTCTTGAAGAGGATCATGTGGCCAGGTCGGGATGAGGATGTGTCCGAGTTGTTCGAATGATCTATCTCCCTCGTCGGCCACGATGCATGAAGTCCCAAAACTCTGTGTGTTCTCGGTTGTTATCATTTGAAGCGATTTATATATGCATATACATGTTGAGCGCCCGTGGTTTATGGTGTGTTTGTCCGCTGTCGTCGTTTATTTCTTTCTCCTTCGAGTCTATCTTCTTCTATATTGTTCAAGTTTCTCAATCAGTATATAGCCATAGTTGAACCAATATACAGTCATTCCATCAAGACTTGGCATTGATGATACTCGACCCCTATTCAAACCTACGCTGGCCGAATGTGGTGGGAGATGCCCAGCCTTAG